GGCGCGCTGCTGCCGCTGCGTGCGGGCAGCGCAGCCACGACCGGCCCTTGCCGGCCGTCCGGCAACTCCTCTCGACCAAACTAACATCAACTGATATAAACTGACTTTGACATGATCATCAACACTGAATTAACTTGAAAACGTGAATTTGCACGAAAAGCTGGACTCCGCCGCGACGAGCGCACCGTGCGCCGCCAATGGCGGTAAGCCGTTCTCTCGACCGAATCTGACCTTCTCTTGGCAATCAACTCAATACTGAACATGAAATAATATTTACTGAATAAATGGACATGATATATTCAAAGTTTTATCATCTAACACGAGCGATGGCTGTGAGCGGCCCGTGGTACGCGCTACGTGCGCGACCACGTCCCTCGGCCAATCTCAATGACTGAACATAAAATTTCCTTCGTATAACATAAACTGATTGATCATAATACATCTTAAACTGATTAAATACAAATAATTGCTTGATAGATTTCACACCAAAACATGAACACACTCGCTAAAGCCACACGCACGGCCGAACAGCTTGATGCCATTCATGAACATGACTAAGTAATTGGAACTAACATGATCTTTAACCTGACTTGATCTGAAAATAAACACGCTACTATCAACTCATTTCAACAAGCAGATTACCTCTTCACTTGTCGATAACCTCCGCTAGGTGCGGCGTCCGTGCGTGCTTGCGGTGTTCGGCTAAGCTTACGGGCGGAGCGGCTAAGGTAAGTTTTCTCCTTGCTGGACTTAGTGAATTTTTTAGAGGAAGACATAGTGCTGAAACGTGGGAAAATTTCATCCTAATTTACCATATTTATACTAGCCGTTCCCAAAATATTTGGTGATGACATGCTTTGTTGGCTCCCTATGAACATGACACTTTCCATAAGCTAAAGGGCTCAAGGTGATTAATCACCACTTAGGCTCTCTCATGATGCCACGTGAAGGTGCTTGAAAAGGAAGGAAAACTTGTTTCCTATGCTTAAGGAATGCTTACGGCAATTTCAGGTAAAAAGAACAAAATGCTACGGCTTTGACCCTTTTAAGTGTGATTAATTACCAATTAATCACTACTTTATGCCTAATTGATTATTAAGCATAATACTTAATTACCAAAATTATTTCGAACATAAACAGAACGTCGAAAATAATTTCGGATAATTTCGACTGAAAATAATTAATTCCGAAAATAATAATCGACAACGTTATTATATCGGAACTATAACATGATTTATATTATCAATCTGACGGGCTATTCCTGACTGAATAATTAATTCCGAACTCATTAATTAAATAAACGAATCGAAATTAAATCTGGAAACTTATTCGGTTACTTAAATAATTAAACCGAATAATTTATCGACTAATAGTCGAACTTGGGATATGACTAACTGAATAACTTGAACTTGAATATGAACATGATTATTTATTAACAAAGTCTAGCTTAAAACTAAAAGCTAGTATTTTCCTTTATTAATAAAATACGGGACGTTACAATCCACCCCCCTTAAAATATTTCCGTCCTCGAAAATACTAAAACTGGAATGTACAAGCTTAACTTAAAGCTTATACTTACTGATTACATGACTTGAGAATTCCGTACTTTAATACTGAATAATAGACTTGATCTGGACTGAGGAGTCATCAATTTACAATTAAGTGAATT